TAATTAGGTTCAACGGACATATGCAACGAACAAATTTTACAGGCCTATAAGTATGCAATAACATCAAATCGGAAGTGGAAGGCAAAGAAGCAACGAGAGAATAACTATAGGCATTGCCCTGGGCTTTGAACATTAAGTACCAAAAGTAATATCAAGCCCAAAAGAAAAATAGAGAAATCAGAGATTGATTCTTCATAGTAAAATCTAAAATGTATCATTGCATTCGTCTCTGTAGTCTAAGGTGTTCCAAGTGTACTTTAGGAAGGAAACCTTAGTGAGTGTAGTAACCTTATTAATCCTCCTTGTAAAGAGTAGCCCACACACTCAGAATCTCTGTAGGACTAAGGTAGTGAAACCTTAGAGAGTGTAGATCATATATGTATCCTCTCTGTGAGAGTAATCCAAACACTCAAACCTAACTGTACTTCTATCATATGTAAAGCTTGAAGAGGCTACGAAAAGAATACTTGAAAGCCCGGAGGGGCTTGTCAAAGAATACTCACTACTAGCCAAAAGTGGCTGATAAGAAAATACTAGCGCTGGTGAGTGAAGCTGGCAGGGCCAGGAGTGGTCGATAATACTTGGGGAACCAGAAGTGGTTTAAGAATACCAGTTTTGATGAGTGAAGTCGACGGGCCAAGAGTGGTCGAGAATACTCAGGTCCAGGAGTGGACGATAATACTCACTGTACTTCATTTCATATTTAATGGAACCCTTCAGTTGAAGGAGACTGGACGTAGCTCGGTCTGAGTGAACCAATATAAAATAACTTGCACTGTTAATTCCTATTTCTCATATGCATATCTTCATTACTGGTTAAATCTTTGTGAAAAACTTCGTCCACTTAGAATCTCTTAGTGAAATCATTTTTAAGACGCAAACGCAAACTTTGTTTAATATATATTTAATACAGTGAAAAGTTTTATCTACTGCTTATCTTTAAATGAAACTATCTTGAAAAGAAAAATGCAAGAACCTTAATCGTTATTGTTATATGAAACATTTTCCTTCAGCAGACAATAAATCTTTCAGACGCAATGACCTTATGTTAAGCAAATTCTGCATAACCGTCTGGTATCTAAAGTGCATTGGACGAAGAACATTATTCTTGCGAAAATGATTTAAAATTCCTTTTTACACACACACATATTCAACCCCCCTTTCTATGTGTTTCATGTGTAACTTCAGTAACCACCTATAATTTTTTAATAATCACCCATTATTATATAATTTTTATTATTTAGTATTTTAAAAATAATTCATGGTGACATGAAATCTCTTCAATACACTAGTTATAATAAAGAAGATTGAAATTTTTGACATACACATATTTTATTCAATTTTTTCTTTATAACTAATTTTTAATAAACTATAATTTTTTTTATATAAATTTCACTTCATAACCACTTGTATTTTAATCAATGACTCCCTATTATAGAATTTTATTACATTATTTTTAAAAAATAATTCATAGTGTCACTAAATGTTTTTATATGCTAGTGTAACATAAAACTTATGTAAAAGTAATGAAATGAAACAATGGGTAATACTAAATATGAAGTTAGATATGAAAAACACATAGAAAGTGGGTTGAATATGTGTGTGTGTGAACAAAGGTATTTTTAAAATCATTTTCACAAGTGTAATGTTCTTTGTCCAATGCATTTTTAAATACCAGATGGTTATGCAAAATTTGCTTAACACAAGGTCATTGCGTCTGAAAGATTTATCGTCTGCTAAGGAAAATGATTTATAATAATAATTAAAGTTCTTGCATTTTCTTTTTCAAGATAGTTTCATTTAAGGATAAACAGTAGATAAAACTTTTTAGTATAATATATTTGTTAAACAAAATTTGCGTCTTCATCTGAAAAAATGGTTTTAATGAAGAATAGACAGTAGACGAAGTTTTTAACATGATTTGTCAATTAAGAAGAGTTTGCGTCTGAAGTATAAATAAAACAATGCAATCATTTTTATACTAGTTCGCTCAACTGAGCTACATCTAGTCTCCTTCAACTGAAGGGTTCCACTAAATATGCAATTAAGTACAAAAGTATTGTCGACCACTTCTGGCCTATTGACTTCACTCATCAACGCTAGTATCTTCTTATCAACCTCTTCAGGCTAGCATTGAGTATTATGGATCACCCAGGTCAGAACCACTCCTGGTCCAAGTTTCTCGACCTCTCCATGCCTTGAGTATTTTAGACCATCCCGGTCACAGCCACTCCTGGTCACGAGTATTCTCAACCACTCCTGGTTGGCTAGCTTCACTCACCAGCTCTAGTATTCTTAAACCCCTTCTGGTTCCCCAAGTATTCTTGACCACTCCTGGCCTGCCAGCTTCACTCACCAACGCTAGTATTTTCTTATCAGCCACTTCTGGCTAGCAGTGAGTATTCTCGACCACCTCCTCGCCCATCGACTTCACTTGTCGACGCTAGTATATTCTTATCAGCCACTTCTGGCTAGCAGTAAGTATTCTTTGACTAGTCTCTCCAAGATTTACAAGTATTCTTTCTCGAGCCTCTTCAAGCTTTACAAATATCAACTAGGCAAGTTTGGTTTGAGTGTTTAGGTTACTCTCATAGAGAGGATACACGGGTTGATACACTCACTAAGGCTTTCATCCTTAGTTTTAGCAACGATCGAGTGTGGTTTACTCTCACAGAGAGGATACAAATTGTTACACTCCCTAAGGTACACGTTCCTAAGTTACACTTAGAACTCCTTAGTCTACAGAGAGAAATACACTAAGGTACATTTGGCTCTATATGCTCTGTCTCTAGCTTCGTTGCTATATGGGCTTGATATCACTTTTTTTTCGTATTCGAAAAGCCAACCTTTCAAGATTTTAAGTAGTGATATATATATGGTTTCGTAGAAATTTGCCCGTTGCAAGTGTCCGTTGAAGTTGATATAGTCGTTCATGACTAGTTTGATCCTTTCATTTAATACACTTGATCTTGCATTAAATGTTGCTTCCTGTTTATGAACAATGCGTATACTATTCTGAATCTGCAAATTCTAACTTTCACAGAAGCCTAGGGATTAGTTGTAGAGACGTTATCTTTATCAGAAAAGTAGGTGTCCTTTTTCTGACACACTCGAGATTTGACGTTTTGTGCTTACTTTCCTTCTTTCTTCTTGTCTTCTCACAATTTCAATGACTTCGTGTGTTCTCTTGTGGGTGTGGACGATATTCAAATTGTCCTTTGAAAGTTGATTCCTCAGGTGATTGCGTGACAATTTTCGTCTGCGTCTAGTAGTCTATATGTAGCTCAAGTCTTGACCTTTGTCTGAGCATTTGTTATTAACACATTGACTTTTCCTTTCGTCTGGTCAACTTGTATATGATCAGACTTTCAAATTATCTTTGACCAACTTTCATCTGAGTCTTTATGTTTCGCTTTAAGTTGTGCTTGACGCGCTTTTGTCTTGTTCTTGATTTGGCTTGTTGGATGCTTGTGTTGGCCTTTCGTCTGTCGTCTTGTATCGTCTGATCATTATGTTTGTTCTTCACTTTTCCTGTACTTATGTTCTTCTGAAATACTAATACACTTGTTAGAGATAACCACATGCATTATATTTGTTACATTCAAAATCTTTATGGGAATTGTTTCGTCTGACTTAACAAAATACAACTCAAATTTTATATTGATTATAAAATTTGCATTTTTTTATTACTTATTGTAAAGAGCGAATTATATATATATATATATAGAGAGAGAAAGAGAGAGAGAGAGAGAGTACAACAATACTTTAAAAACATTCATTTCTCTTAAAATTTAAAGAGGACTTTGATATAGAATAGTTCAATATTTTTTTTTTATATCATATTGATTTTATTTTTGGAACTTACGAAAGAAAGGAAAAAAAATAACAAGTCTAAATTACTTTCGTTGCTAACTTCCAATGAATAAGTTAGAAGTAATTATTCGTTAATTATTAAATCTTAATATTTAATGATGTAATATGTAAGGATAAAAATTAAAAAAGAACATACAAAGTCTTTTTATTTTAATGAGTGATAATATTTATTTTATTAATAAATTTATTTATATTTTTTTAGTCTAATTTTATTTTTGAATATTATGTCACTAGATGTTACACTACTTAAACATAATTAAAAGTTAAAATTTAATAATTAATAAATGTCAATTTTACGAGAGAATTAAAATTTTATATTTTTTTTTAAATTAATAAAATTACTAAATATCTTTATTTTAAAATATAAGGACCATAATTTCATATTGTAAAAAATAAATAGATCAAAGATGTAATTTAACTTATAAAGAACTATTAACACAATTTTTGTATAAAAAATAAAAATTTCATTTTGGGATTTTTTTTTAAAATTATATCTTTTATGTGATGTTGAGATATTGTGTGTTTTTATATTTGTTTAAAAATATTTAAAAATTAACAATGATTGATGAATTAATTAATGTTGTACCTAATTCTTGAACCTTGAGATCTTGAATATAAGTTTTGAGTTTATAAGAATATTTAATCTTTAATATTATTTTTATTTATTTAAACATTTAAAGATAAAATAATTCAACAATTGTATTCATAAAAACATAGTATCAATTTATATATAAGAATAAATAATAAATAGTTATTTACACTTATTATAAAAAAAATAAATATAATTATTTTTTGTCTTCACTATTTAGTGAACTATTATAATGTAAAAAGAAAAAAATTATTATATGCTCTCTAAATAATTACATATAATTTTTTAATATTTTATCTGTGTATAATTATTAGAAGTATCAGGTAGTAGTTTATAAAATAAGTTAAAAATTAATTAGAAGAAAAAAATGGAAAGTAAAAAAAAAAAAAAAACTATCGGGCGTTATTTATTATAGATTTAAATAAATAAATTACAGATTATTATTGTTATTTTTAGATTTATCTATTAACTAATCCTCCCATCTCACGGCACAATAAATAAATAAAAAGCGTAACTAAAAAAAGAAACCGATCACACAGTTGGGGTGCAAAGTGTTGCGTTGCAAGTGTAACTGCCAATGCAACTTGCAAATTAGAGATCGGATCAACGGTAAAATTCAATTTCTTATTCTCTCCGAAACATTGCAATTCAACAAATTCTGATTCACCCCTTCACATTCAATTGTTTCAAACCGTACATTCTTTGCTTCAGTTCTGCAATTCTTTTTTCCAATGTCAGTGGCTTAACTCTCTGCCACCAAAATTTGAGTCAAATTTTTTTCCTTTTTAGTACCAAATTTCCTTCCCACATTTTTAGACCAAGTGGGGTGTTAGAATGAGCACCGAAAGTGCTGAACATGATGATGCAAGTGCTGATCTTGAAGGTGCTGTTTCATCATCTAGTGGGAATGTGATGGGGGATCTGGATGCAATGATCACAAGCCTGGGTATGGGCTTGGATTGTTTCTCTGAGAAAGTTTTCAACTTGAGAATTTTTGTGATGCATGTGGAAACCATGGAGAATGAGTTTGAGGCCTTGGTTTTGGAGAAGGGGGATCATCACATGGGGGTTGGTTGGTTGGAAAAGGGTCTGGAGTTTGATCTGTTGTCTGTGGTGTTGGATTCAGAGGTGAGAGAGTTGGGGGGAGTATTTGACATTCTTCAAGGTGGTGTTGGTGAAGTTAGAGAGTGTGTGTGTTCTTGCACTCATTTGGGAGAGGCATTTGTGGCAATGCAAGACAGGTTGTTTGATTATGAACAGAAGTTGAAGCTGTCTGAAGAGGAGCTTAATGACATTAAGATGCAATCAGCCAGTTTCCAGAGGGCTTTGTGTTCTTATAAGAAGGCACAAAATGGTATGCAGGAGATCTCATTTGTTCACTTCTTTACATGTTTTATGTTTGGATTAAACATGATTTTGTTCCTGAAAATATCACAATTTATTTTTTTGTTTTAGCTCCTATAAAAAAATTGTTTATTTTTAGTCCTTTTTAACAAATGTGGTTTTAATTCCTCACTAGGAACTAAAAACGTGTTGAGGGATTAAAATCACATTGTTTTGTTTAGGGTCTGTTTGGTTCTGAGTAGTGGAGGGGAGAAATTTTAATGGATTAGAAATTTTGTTTGAGAGGAGGGGAGAGATGTTAATGTTAATGGAAGGGTCTTATAATTTTGAATTTAAAAATACAAATAAACATATTTTAGACTTCATACTAAAAAATGTTTTAAAATCTCTCCCCTTTCCACCAAATCTCCCAATAATGGAGAGGGGCTAAAATTATATGAGAAAGGGTTTATTATAAAAGTTAACAAACAAACTTATCATACATACATTAAGTCTATGATTTGATAACAATATAAATGATCTTTACATTGTCAATGCAAGTATTATTTATGAATTTTATAGGAACTATAACAAAAAAAAATTGCAATATTTTCAGTCACCAGAAAACATGTAAACCTTTATGTTTTCATGAACTGACTCGCTCAAAATTTATGTTGCTTGATCGATGTGAATAATTCTTCATTTTTATGTAACTGTTTTTTTTCTTTCTTATTTTGTTGGGGATTATTGACGACAGGATGTAATATTGATGCAGGTGAAATCATCATAGAGGATGATAAATCTTTGAATGCAAATGCAGAGATAAAAATGCAAACAGTTGAGCAACAAAGACATATTCTGAGAATGCTAGAGAAATCTTTGGCAAGAGAAATGGATCTTGAGAAGAATATGAATGATTCCATAGAAATTCAAGAAAATCTAAAACTAAAGATATTCTTTTTAGAGCAAGGGCTTGTTAACATGGAGGAAGAAGCAATTGAGGTTTGGGAACAATGGCTTGAGGCTGACAATGCATGTGAGATTCTGTTGGGAATTTCAAAAGGCCTGCTAGGTAATCTCCACATTTCTCAGTTCAATTTGAATTGCCTAAGTCATCGCGAATCTGAGCTTCGAGCTAGTCTGAAAGATGCTGAAGATAAAGTAATCCTTTCCAATTCTGAGGTCTTCGCTTTACATGACAAGGTGTCTTCACTTGAGAACCAGCTAAAAGAATCTGAATTTCGGATACTGAATGCAAAGGCCTCTGCTGATGAATATCAGAAGCAGTATAATGTTGCATGTTCTAAAGCAAGAGACATGGAGAGTATTATTGTTGAACTGAAAGAAGCTGTATCTAATGCAGAAAGTAGGGCCAATAGTGCAGAAACTAAGTGTAATTCATTGACACAGACTAATTCAAAACTCAATGAGGAGCTGGCTACTTTGAAAGGCCGTGGAGGCACATCAGCAAAAGTAGATTTGCTAGAGAAGCAGTTGAAAGAATCTAATCGGCGATTGCAGAGTGCAGTAGCATCTGCTAAAGCTAGTCAGGAGAAACAAAATACCTTGTATTCAACAATTAGAGATATGGAAAATGTGATAAAGGATCTTAAGTCAAAGGTTTTGAAAGCTGAGAGTAGGGCTGACAGTGCAGAGGACAATTGTATCATATTGTCTGAATCTAACGCGGAGTTGAATGAGGAACTCAGCCTTTTGCGGAGTAGATTGGAAAGCCTGGAGGGTTCCCTTCACCGGGAGGAGGAAGTGAAAATGACTACTGCAAAGGACCTAGGAAAGCAAGCCAAAGGTTTCAAAAAATTGTTAACACAGCTGGCTTTTGAGAGAGAGCGTCTTAAGCAGCAGGTAAAGACCAAGATTATATCAAATAAACTGAATCATTAATCTTTCATGTTCATCCACTCACATTTTCTCCCCGTCCTCTTTCGATTATTCATATTTCGCAAGAATTCATATACATGTCACCTCTATAAGTAGATTGATGTCTTGGTTTAGGATGATTACATCAATTTTATTGTGCACATGCCTATTTTATAATAACTTTATGCTTGAACTTTATTGTTTCTTATTCAAGTGTTCATGAGCATAATAAGCACTGTGTGTCAGACTGGACTAAGCATTTTTTTCCCTTTGATTTTTCCACTTACTGTTTAAAATTTTCTTTTTACTACTCTGCGTGATGATACATCATGAATGTGGGTTCTTACAATTTTTCTATAATTTACATGTAAATTGTAAACCAACTTGATTGAAATTCTGAATAAGAAGAACATGCTGTAGTGTAACACTCCAAGTTGATGCAGTGCCCCATATACTTGTTCTAAATTCTTTTACAAAATGTTAATGAATGACATGCTGAAACTGGAGATATCTTCCTTCTATTGGGCTTGCTGAAAATGTTGTTTTATCTACAGATATCTTCCCTAGCAAGTGAGAACAAAATTTTGGTGGTGAAACTAAACAAAACATGTTAAAGAACCTTCTTAAGAAGCTAGTGAGACTGCAGTCACTGGCGACGAGGTCAGTATTTTGAACTCTCTTCATTTATTTTATTTCTTTATTTATACATGTAAATGACTGATTGGCAACAATCTATTTAACTATTAACTTGAAAAGTTGTGTTCTAATAAGAGTATCAGTATATTGGTTATTTATAAAACATGCGCGAGAAAAAAAACTTTTATCTCTAGTCTATCTAGATATTGGTTAGTATAGGGTCATGCTATTGATGGAAAATAGCTGATGCATTGTTATATACATATTTTAAAAAAAAATATATTGACTCTAATTTGGTGCAATAATGCCTTTCTCTTCACAGTTTACACAATATAATGTAGTTAAAAGAAAAAATAAAATAAAAAAACAATTATTCATACTAGGCTACTAGCTAATGTTGAACTTTAGAAGCATGTTGATTTTGAGCAAAATTCTTATCCAAAGAGAAACTAACTCAAATGCTATTAGACTTTGCTTATAGTTCGTTTTCAATTTTTTTTTTTCTATATTATTCTTCTGAAAATATCTACTAAGAGAAGCACTACAATATATGTAAAAGAGTACATGCAATATACATACTGTGTCTAATGAAAGACTAAATATAACATTATCATTTATGACCCAAGTTTATAACTTTTCACAGATGTGTGCAAATAGCATTGAGATAAAAGATTTAAATATTCAAATAAACTTGAGGAAACAAAAGAAAAAGGTGCATAGATTGAAATACTTATTACTACCCCTACTTTTTTTTTTCTTTTCTTTTTTTCCAGGGACTTCAAAATACAAGTTATCTGCAATATATGAAGTCAAACCCACAGATTCTGTGCGAGAAGTTAATTAGCAGTATGAGGAGAACAGGTGCAGGAGTTCTTGGTTTTTACATCAATTCTTGTTTTAATGATCCACCTCATCTGTGGTTGATTTGTATTTCTATTACGTGAATTTTTGTCAGTCTATGTGGATGTTTGGTTCCACGTCCAGAGCTCTAGACTCGCATAAAAAAACGTGAAAACAGGAAGCTGCTACGAGTAGCTTTTGCCTTCAACGTGAAAAGTGAAAAGTAAACGTGACACCACTCCAAACACAAGCTATGTATAAATAGTTAACATGAGAATTTTAATTAATTTATTTATAGGTGTTTCTTAATTCTTAGTAAGACAAGAGTTTTGTTGTTGTTGTAGAATTTTTTTTTATAGGTGCCTAATTTAAAGCATATTGGAGTTGATCAAATTTTGTGGAAAGTCTTGAACTCTATGGGACCAAATGATCCAAAATTTATGATGCTTTCTAGTAGTAGTAGATAGAACATGGGGTCCATTCTTTACTAACAAGTGAGTGTTGTGAAAAATGAATTGATATCACAATTTTGTATTTAATTTTTTTTGTCCTTTCACTATTGGGGTGTTATTGGGAGAAATCCAAGTCCCACATCGACTAGAGATTAGGTAATTAAATAATATATAAGTGGAAAGCAACCCTCACCTTACAAGCTAGTTTTGTAGGGTTGACTTAGGCTTAAATTCACTATTCTAAGATGCAAGCCAGTTTTGTAGGGTTGAGTTAGGCTTAAATCTACTATTCTAAGATGGTATCAGAGCTATCCTATATTCTTAAAAATGAGTCACCCACCATTAATACATGCACCATAGGCAAGAGGGGGTGTAAAAAACGAGTCACCCACCATTGATACATACACCATAGGCATGAGGGGGTGTATTGAGAAAAAAAAAAAACCCAAGTCCTGCCAATCCTAGATCATTAAAAAGGGTCACTCATCATTTATCCACATACCAAGCATGAGGGGGTGTATTTGTTGGAACTTAATCGAATATTAGAAAGTTTATTGATGCCAAATGGTGAAAGAGAAAACTTATTATTTCATTGATGACAGCAAGCTATTTATACAACAGAAAAACCAAGTCATTACAAATTGCACTAGTAACAGAATTAACTAACTCTCAACATTCCGCCTTTAATTCAGTTCACTCAAAGATACAACAGATAGTTTCTCTCTTAAATTTTTGAATCTATCACCCTTCAACGCTTTAGTGAAAATGTCTGCAATCTGCGCCTCTGATCTGCAATACTCCAGTCTTAATCTTCCTTTGTTCACCTGATCCCTTATGAAATGAAACTTGGTTTCTATGTGCTTACTTCTCCCATGAGCTATTGGATTTTTGGCCAAGTTTATTGCTGACTTATTATCCATCATAAACTTCATATTACCTGGTTCTCTCACCTTCAATTCATGCAGCAATGTATCAATCCACAATGCTTGGCAGGCACACATTGATGCTGCCACATACTCAGCTTCACATGAGGATAGTGCCACAATTGATTCCTTCTTTGAACACCAAGAGAATGGTGCTTTACCAAGCATGAAGACATATCCAGCTGTGCTTCTTCTTTCATCTTTGTCACCACACCAATCAGAATCAGTATATCCACAAACTTCATCAATTGTGTTGCTCTCGTTGTTTTGAAACAAAATTCCGTAGTCAAGTGTTCCCTTCACATATCTAAGGATCCTTTTTGCAGCTTGCAAATGAGGCACCCGAGGCTTGTACATGAATCTGCTGATTAAACCCACACTATATGCAATGTCAGGCCTTGTGTTGCACAAATATCTGAGAGATCCAACCATTTGTCTGTACTGCGTGGCATCAACAGGTTCTTCAGGGCCATCTTTTCTAAGCAATAACCCTGTTTCAGCAGGTGTGGCACAGGGATTGCAATCATACAAATTAAACTTTTTCAAAAATATCTGTAGCATACTTGCATTGGTGCATCACAATTTCCTTCTCAGTTTTCTTGAATTCAATTCCCAGAAAATAGGACAAATGACCCAAATCAGTCATTTCAAACTCCTCCATCATGCTTCTTTTAAAATCAACAACCATACCTTGATTACTACCTGTAACCAGCAAATCATCAACATAAAGACAGGCTATTAACAAATCTGAATTATTCTCAGATTTAACATAAACTCCATGCTCAGAAGTGCACTTAATGAACTTCATTTGATGCAAAAAACTGTCAATTCTTTTGTTCCAAGCTCGCGGGGCCTGTTTCAAACCGTATAGAGCTTTCCTCAATTTATACACCTTTTCTTCCTGTCCTTTTATTTTAAAACTTGGTGGTTGAGCTACATAAACCTCCTCTTCAATTTCTCCATTCAGAAATGCAGATTTTACGTCTAACTGATACATGGGCCAGCCTTTCAAACTTGCGAGAGCAACCACTAATCTTACTGTCTCAATTCTTGCCACTGGTGCAAACACATCACCATAGTCAATTCCAGCTTTCTGTAGAAATCCCTTCGCCACCAATCTAGCCTTATACTTGGCCACTTCTCCATTTGGCTTCTCTTTCACTTTGTACACCCACTTCACATCAATTGATTTTTTCTGAAGTGGCAGAGACACTAACTCCCAGGTTTTGTTTTTTTCAATTGATCTCAACTCATCTTTCATAGCCTCAATCCATTTGGGATCATCCATTGCTTCTTCAAAACTTACTGGTTCAATTTCTGAAAACAATGCAAGGTGCACCAAATCACCTTCTGAGTTCACTGCTGATTCACTGAAAATGTCATAATCATGTAGTCTTTGAGGAATTTGTCTGGTTCTTTGTGATCTCCTTGGTTCAATAGTAGCTGTTGGATGTAAGTCAGTCGTTTCACTTTCAAAATCAACAAGCATCCTGGCTGTTTTCCCTTTTGAATCAGTTTCATCCTTCCACATGCTAGCCTCATCAATTATCACATCCCTGCTGATTACAATTTGCCTACTCTTTGGATCAAGGAATTTGTAGCCACCAGTAGCATGATAGCCAACAAGTATCATTTGTTGACCCTTATCTTCCAATTTTCTTCTCAGTTGATTAGGAACATGTCTGTAACACAATGAGCCAAAACTCCTAAAGTGACTGGTGTCTGGTTTGTGTCCGGACCAGATTTCTTCAGGAGTTACACCCTGCAATCTCTTGGTTGGACTTCTGTTCAGAATGTAGGCAGCTGTAGAAACTGCTTCTCCCCACAAATACTTTGGCAACCCCTTGCTTTTCAGCATGCTTCTCACCATGTTCATGAGGGTTCTATTCTTCCTTTCAGCAGTACCATTGTGTTGAGGTGTATAAGGTGGAGTCACCTCATGCACAATGCCTTCATCTTCACAAAAGCTTGTGAATTCAGCTGAAACATACTCACCACCACCATCAGTTCTTAAAATTTTAACAGAACAATCACATTGTTTTTCAGCCAAGCACTTAAATTTTTTAAAGGTACTGAACACATCTCCTTTGTTCTTAATCAAGTATACCCAAACCTTTCTACTAAAGTCATCAATGAAAGTCACAAAATATTTGTTACCTCCAAGTGATTCAGTTTGAAGAGGGCCACAGACGTCAGAATATACCACTTCTAATTTGCATCTTGATCTAATAGGAACATGTTGCTTGAAGGTGTTTCTTGGCTGTTTGCACTCCACACATTCCCTGCACATTTCTTTGGGCTGATGAAGACGAGGAAGACCAGTTACCATGTTGTATCTACTCAAGAGGTTCAGATCTCTAAAATTTAGATGTCCAAACCTATAATGCCAAAGCCATTCTTCACTATTCACAGCGGAAACCAAGCATTGATGCTCCAAAACCTGAATTTCAACTCTAAAGGTTCTATTCTTAGATAGGGGTGCTCTAAGAATCAACCTTTTCTTATTATCATATACTGTCATCCCATTATTTTCCATCACCATTTTAAAGCCTCTCTCTAACAATTGTCCAAAGCTGAGGAGGTTGCTTTTCATGTGAGGCACAAACAACACATTCGAAATTAATGACCGTTGCCTATTCTTGCTCCTTATTGCTACTTCTCCAATTCCTTCAGCATCAAGAGTTTTATGATCAGCAAATTTTACTTTGCTTTTTACAGATTCATCAAGTTTTGAAAACCAATCCTTTCTACCAGTCATGTGGGAAGAACACCCAGTATCAAGATACCACAAATTCTCACTATTTTCAACAGTCTTGGTTGTCACCATTAGCAAAACTTGATCTGAATCTGAGTCATCTTCCTTTACTAATTGTGCCTCATTATTATGTTCTTTCTTGTTGTAACATTCTTCTGCATAATGACCCCACCTTTGACAATTGAAGCACTGAATGTGTCTCTTGTTCACCTTCTTCCTGCCACCTCTTCCTCTAAAGTTTGTACCACCACCTCTTTTTAGTTCATTATTGTTAAACCTTTGATCGTGTTGTTCTCTTACTCCAATATGGTTGTTATTACCTCTTCCTCTATTGTGCTTCCATTTGCCTCGGCCTCTCTTGTTTCTGCTTGCTTCACCTTCATGCTTCACACTGTGGACTTGTAAAGCTTGCTCAGCAGTCTTCTCAGCACTTCTTTCAACCATTCTTTGTTCATGAGCCTCCAAAGAGACTTGTAGCTCCTCCACCTTCAAGATTTCAAGATTCTTGGATTCTTCAATAGCAACAACAATGTGATCAAATCTTGGTAACAATGATCTCAACACTTTCTCAACAATCATTTGACTTGAGATTCTTTCCCCATAACTTTTCATCAAATTTGTTAGAGATAATACCCGAGTGAAATAAGCTCCTACTTCCTCATTTCCTTCCATCTGTAAGAGTTCGTACTGTCTCCTCAAGGTTTGCAGTCGAACCTTCAATTTATCATTCCCTGCATGTGCCCTCTCAAGAATCTCCCACGCCTCTTTTGTTGTAGTGACATTTGAAATTTTTTCAAAGTTTCCCATGTCCACACATTGATGGATGATGAATAAAGCTTTGCAATCCTTCTTCTTAGCCTCCTTGTTCGCAGCTTTCTGAGCCTCTGTTGCTCCACTATCCATTTCTTGTACTCCTTCTTTGACAATATCAAGCACATCTTGAAAGCCAAAAATCACTCTCATCTTAGCACACCACTGATCAAAGTTCTTGCCACCTTCAAGAACCGGTAAGGTTGCTGGAAAATTTCCATTCGAGGAAGCCATTATGCGCAGCAATGTCACAATGCAGGTCCCAGATTGTACAAGCTCTGAATACCAAATGTTGGAACTTAATTGAATATTAGAAAGTTTATTGATGACAAATGGTGAAAGAGAAAACTCATTATTTCATTGATGACAGCAAGCTATTTATACAACAGAAAAACTAAGTCATTACAAATTGCACCAGTAACTGAATTAACTAACTCTCAACAGTATTGAGAAAAAAAAAACTCAAGTCCCGCCAATTCTAGATCATTAAAAAGGGTCACCCACCATTTATCCACGTACCAAGCCTAATAATGCTAGGCGTGATGGGGTGTATTGGGAAAAACTCAAATCTCACATCGACTAGAGATTAGGTAATTAAA